TGTATACAATTAAATTGAAGCAATAAATGAGTTGCATGGTCTAAACAACACATAACATTCTTGACTGTTGAACAAGACTTGCTTCAAGTTTTGTTTCAAAACTTTCCTTGGTGTAAACAGCACACACAATAATTTCTCAAGCAATTCTTGTATTCAATTGCATTCTCTCTTCCTTTGCAAAAATTAGTGTAATAAGTGAGGGTATTTAATCGTTGCTGTTCTTTTGAGGATAGAAATATTGAGAAAAGGTCGTAAAAAAAAGTTGGATAAAAAATATGAATAATAATATATGGATCATAATAAATAAATCTCAATGAAATATATTTAATCGGCATAATCTAACTTGAACACTTATTATTGAGCCATTTTTTTTAAAAAAATAGCCCTTTGTAAAACGTTCAACACTTGCATGAAAAATTTGTCAACGCAAATACGTGCAATACTTGAAGCAACACGCCAATAAATTGTACACGCACATACAAGCATGTGTTGAGACAAGTCAAAACTTGAAAGCAATAATCGCCTAAACATAATTGCATTGGTGTAAACAAAAGACATTTGCAATTATTTCTTGTCAAGACTTGCATTCAATAATCGCATTCAATTTTTTGTACTATATCGGCGTGTAAACTGTTGCTTACAATTCTTGATGGTCAATTATTGCGTGCAACTTATTGCATTCAATTATTGCTCTTGTATGTTCAAGAAAATGGCATCGTGTAAATGGGCCTTAAATCTATATGATTGAAAGTAATTCTACCATCTACGGCAGAATTCTTCAACCGAAGTACTCTAAGAACCCTCACTTAAATACCACTACTCAAAATTATTAGTTACTCAGTATTATGCAATAGCATTAGACTTGCTCACCATTATAGCTAATGCTTTTCGTTGACCTGGAATCAAGAATCTTCAGAATCTCCTACCGCAGTTAAGAAATATAAGCCCGGTTTCCGGAGCTGCACGAGTAAGAAATGTAAAATACGTTTCTGTCCAGCGCCGTTCTTAGATGAAAACCTTAACAGTCTGAAAAAGTCAGTCATTATGAGTTGAAATTCCTATGATCTATCTAATAGGGCTACATATGGTTAAATAAAACGAGTACCTGGATGACTAAGTATTTTTTTTGTAATTCGTGTGTTTTGGAAATTACATTCAGATACAAAGTACTTAGTGGTGGAAAATGAATAATATTCTTTGATCTTACCGACATAATACAAAAATATGAAATGGTTATATTTAAATAAATCATGAGTGCAATTAGTTTAACATTTTATCAGAAACCAGTACTTACTTTTTTACAATTCATCAATTTAAAAATCAAATTAAAACGCTTTAAAAATCCATAAAATACGTTCATTTAATAATTTATATTATTCGCCTAAAAACATGATAGTGACAGTCCAACTGATTTTCACTCTATATTAAATTAGGAAATTATCAATCAACAGTGTCGAATTAAGCGAGTGCAGGGCCCGCAGCAAATTCTTTCAAGCAGCCAAAGCAAAAAAAAATTCAATACTCTTTTTTTATTTAATAAGTTTCACAAAAAAATGTCTCAGGCGGAGATGACTTAGTATAAATATGCGGGCGCCCATTGGCGCGGGGCACGTAGCAATTGCTACCCTTGCTATGTGGTTAATCCGGCACTGTCAAAAAATCGTCATCACCCAACAAAATTCTTCTGATTAAAACTAAACGAAAAATATTAAAACATTTAGGTTTTTGTTTAACGTTTGTATTTTCTGTAGTAGTTTTTATAAGACAATAAATAACAGCTCTCCGCAAAGGGATTATTGGAGCAGTGAAGCACTTGTCTGAGTATAATGAAAAAGTAAAGTAACACCACGAACGGCATTCCGTCTACTTCCCCCAAAATTTTGTGTTAGACATTTACAAATTGACAGTGCTTATCGTTGTGTCACCTGTATAGGCAAGTAACGGTAAGTAAAACAGTAATTCGAAAATATAAACAAAGAAATTTCAACCCTAAACATAAAGTTTACGGGTCAAAATAGCGTATGTCGGATCGTTTATACAGAATCGTATAATACTGCGCGCACAAATAAAAATGCGTTTCAAACTTTACAACGCAAAGAAGGTTGAAAACCACTGTTAGTTGATCTTCACAGGAAACCTCACTAAGAAGAATTACGAAGGCTTACATAGCTCTTGCTTTGGTGAACCCCATTGGGCGGGGGACAATATTTTCCAATTTGATTTCCTGTCAGGCGCCCCTTTTTGAACCTCGCTATTATTTATGGTGTTAAATTGGAAGCCCGTTTGTAGTCGGGAGTTGTTCGGATAAATAGATATATATTATGAATTTTATAAGTTGCAAAAAACTTGAAATAAAACATTAAAACATAAGTAACGATATGCTCAAGACTTCTGATACATAACTAAGGGACTCTTTCAGCGTTTAATACATATTTTTTGGTTTAATTCTACAGTTTTAGAGAATGTTATAAGAAAAGCAACATAAGAATTAACGAATATCAGGAAGTTCTTTGTCGTTTTACAGGTAAAATAACACAAGATTACTGTTGGTACCTTTTCATCAAATATTTTTAATAATTATATTTGTGTTTTAGCGATTTTTTTTAAGCAAAGACTCTTTTATCCGAAATATTAAAATATATAATAAAATTAGAACGTCTTTACGTTGCTTAACTTTTTACTTAAAAGCAGTTAATCTTTTCTGTACACGAATTATTGACATGGGTCAAATTATTTCTGAATCTCGGAAAAGGCTCCAGCGATTTTCATGAGATTTAATATGAAGGTTTCGGGTGGAAATCGATCTAGTTAGGTTTCATTTTTAGAAAACGTCGCTTTATCCGTGTTTTCAGGCAATGAAAAACTTCTATAATATCATTAGAATACCAAGATAAATTTTGCTATCATCTACAATGCTATATATAGTTTGTTTCGAATCTAGATGATTATTTTATTCTTTCCCTTTTATTTTCAAGTTCCTTCTGTTGTGAGGAATAAAACCGTTTAAAAACTTTAAAGTTAAACGGTTTTATTTTATGTGCACTGAAAACTACAATATTGTATTGTCATCTAAATTAAACGTGTGTACCAAATTTCTGATCAATCTGACAACGGGAAGGTGCTTAAATTTCAATTTCTAATTTTGACCCAAATAAATAAACAAATTCCGTACGGGTCGAGCTAAATAAAACCGTTTAAAAATACCGGATAATCTATGTATTTAATTTAATATAACAGTATTATGTGAGTGTAGTTTTAGTAAATTAATGTTAAAGAAATATGGTATAAATGAACCTTATATGTACATTTATACCATGTTTCTATAACAACGTCGAAATCGTACTGATATCAGATCAGTATAGTAAAACATTGCTTTCAATTCAAAGACCTAGTAAGCTCAGTTTTCACATGGTCTTTTTTTACATTTGTAAAAAGAGTTGCGTGTATAGAAACCCTTCTAAAAACTGTTTTTGACACGTTCGTTTGAAGAAATCCCCTATCCTTCGCCTCCTTTGATGGGTCGCAGCTGATTGACGTATTTTGAATGTTTTAGAGTGAATTTCGGATTCTCGGAGGTTGTAGAATAAAAATAAAAAAGCTTTTAGCATTTTATTGTTTATATTTCAGAGCTAGTGGAAAGACATGGGTCTCCTCTAACAGGGTAAAAATATAACAGATAGTATTCCTCAAAGCATTCATTTTCCTGTTGGTTACTTATATTTTTCATATTAACGATACTTGTTAATTCAGAGGCGGCGTTGGATTCCAATAATACTTATCATAGATTTGGTCCCAAAAATCGAAGGCTTTGACGAGTTGGTCCGTTTTCAACGCGAGTTTTTTATCGATTTGCAAGTAAGTGGGTCTATCAATTGTGAAGGGTTGCCATTTCAAGTTGATGATGGAACTCTCGTAGGCTGTCGGATCTCTGGAATTTTGTTTAAAATATTAATAACTAGCGACCCGCCCTGACGTCGCACGGGTGCAACGTATAATACACTAGCTGTTGCCCGCGACTACGTAGTATAGGCTGAAGGCGTAACATTCAAACAGAAAGACTTAAATGAATGTTACGTAAATAATATAATATTAAGTAATCGCCTATTCAAAAAAAAAAAAAAAAAAAAACAACAAAGTTTTTTTTTGAATAAGCGATTACTTAATATTATAATTAATAATTTACTGAAACAAGCAATATACGACGATCCCCATTAGATTAGGTAGCCACCTGAGTAAAACTGCGTGTAAGCGATGGATGCAGGTGGCTCAGAATCGCCCTTAGTGAAAGTCATAGACTATTCAGCAGTGGATTCAAACAGGCTGAAATGATGATGACAATGTAAACGACAATAAAGTGTAAATAAATAATGAGTTGGCGGGTTACCTGAGTTAAGTGGCAACCGCCGCCCATGAACTTTTGCAATACCCGTACGCAACTCCCCAGATGTACACACACACACACACACACACACACACACACACACACACACACATCATATATATGTATGTATACAATGCGTGTCGTTACAACCGCGACAATAAATGAACACACGTCTAACACTACTTGCCAATAATTATAAAAATCCATGCTTAAAAAAAATACTTTTCAAACAAACTAATTAAATAAAAAAGAAACAAAATTTGTAACACCTATACAATTACACCGTCACAACGTCGCATTACAAGTCTGTTCTTCTAACAATATGTTTTATCCCTTTTAAATTCATTCAGCCCATTCATATGCTTTGTGACCTTAACAAATGAACTTTACGTTACAGTTTTATACGTAAGGGTGTTTTAAAATGTTTTTTTGAAAATGTTAAAAATGTTTTTTTTGTTAAATTTAATAACTCGGTAAATATTGATGTTTAGAGAATGTAAATGCTTAATACAATTTTAAAAAGTTATCCTCTAAATGTGTATTTATTTATGGTCGCGGTTGTAACGACACGCTGTAACTAAACTAATTAAAAGAGGGAAGGTATTTTAGATATAACTCACTCGTATTTTACAAAGTCTGTCCACATGGTCGTCATACGATCTCTGGTGTCCAAATCTTTATAACTATTCGTCCATGCGAAGAAATCTAACACATAGGCTGTTTGATCCCTATGACTAGCACCTTTAACACGATCCATGTAATGATGTTTCATATTCAGATTACCCATATACGTAAACTCGTACAAGAATACGGGTCTATTCGAAGTTGACGCGTGCAGTTTTGCTGACTTCATGATGGCATATTTGAACATTGAATCGGAGAAATAATCAACGTAGCTTTGTATAGTAGAAGGTGACACGTCTTCTCCTTTAAAATAATACTCTTTTACAATTTTGGCAAGGTCCCGTTTTGATTTTTCGTCGGGGAATTTCAAATCAGCGGCGAGATATTCGGAAAAATCTTCGTTCATCCCATCTCGCCACGAACCAAACTGAAGCAACCTACTGATTCCTTCCATATTCGAGAAACCTGTTAAAACGGGCAATTTTGTATTCAGTCCTTTCTTCGCAATGTCACTCGGCGATTCGGTCAAGAAAGGTTCAACGCCGTCGTGAACATTTTCTATGCACGGTGAAAATCCGAAAGTGCTGTTTGGCAAAAAGAAGTTTAAACTCTTTAGCGCCAGGTCGTTCGAACTAGCGTTCAGATAAAATTCAGTTAAATCGTCCAGTCTCCCAGTGTCATTGTATCCCATAGATAGAGCAATGTTTCTAGCTGTGCTTATGGGGTCTCTATTAACAGCGAAAGGGGAGAACGCGGAACCGCTCTCCAAAATAAGTTTACTAAACAACCCCTGACTCGATTTGGAGAAGGTGTGCAATTCAGCCATGGACGCTCCAACACTAAATCCGGCTAATGTTATCTTTTCAGGATCCCCGCCAAACTTCTTTATGTTCTTTTTAATCCACCTCAACGCCTCCACTTGATCCTTCAATCCAGCATTCCCCGGAATCTTCTCATTCCCGAGACACGCAAATCCCAATGCCCCCAGCCTGTAATTAAAACTTACGACCACGACGTCATGTCTTGCTAAATAGTTAAATTTAACCATATTGCCATTGCCCCCAGAAAAGGCTCCGCTATGAATGTAGACCAAGACTGGTACTAAGTTTTTCTCCGTCGCGATTTTTGGGGCCAAAACGTTAATTGAAAGACATTCCTCATCTCCCGTTACAAGAGATTCATCATCTTCTTCCTCCGTGTAAAAAGTTTGAACACATGTTTTCTTAGAATTCTTTGCATTTAATATCCCTTTCCAAGGAGTAACTGGTAACGGTCCCTGAAAATGGAACAGCAATCACAAATGTGAACATATTTAAAGGCTTGAGAACAATAAAAAATTTAAAGGTCGTTTTAAATATGATATAATAACACTGAATGACTTTGAAATATCAGGAATTTTAAATTTAATTTATTTTATTTCTTTTATTTTTAAGAAACGTAATAAAATATGAGAAATAATGTCCCGTCCCAGTCAATGCACTCTCCCTAATGCACAGAACAATTATCGTAAGTTCAACCAAAATTAAGGAACCAATCCAAAAAAAAAGTTTTGTTTGAAATACACTCACCCTTAGTTGAACATTCCGTGGCGCAGTTTCCAAGGCATTGGCTACGGCGTCGGAAGTCGTGGGTTCGATCCCCACACGGGACAACTATTTGTGTGACCCACAGATGGATGGATTTCGCATCTGAGTGTGTCCACGTGAAATTTATGTTTGTAAAATGTCCTTACAACACAGCATAATGTTATCCCAAAGTTGGGCTATGTTTTTAAAAAAATAGTAAAAGAACATAACTTAGTATAATTTACTGACTTTTCATTAAAATCCATCTTAAGCATTAATTTTCTATGCATCTCATTTTCTATCATTTTCTATTATTTTCTATTATTATCATTCTTATTATAAAACCATTAAGTACCCCTATTGTAGTAGGAGTACTATTGTATACCATTGTACAATAGGGGTACTATTGTAGTATATAAAAACCACGTATTGCTTAGGCATTTTACAAACACAAAATAAACAAGGACAAACGAACAGAACCGGAATTTTTATACGTAATCTCATTACTTACGTATTTATGACATACACTTAAAAAGACATTCAAGATGAAACAAGTAAACACAGTATAATGCGGCAAATCGTGGAATCATGGGACACATAATTATGTCTAATCACCCATTTGAATGTAAAACATTGAAACGGAAAATGAATTGGCACCATTACCTTAAAACGATCTCGTCCCTTTGGTACAGTCGCGTATGGTATGCCAAAAAATTCGTAGAAATCGCCATCCCAAAACTTCTCACCTCTCACTGCTCCGTAATCCAATTTGACCGTTCTGAAGTCATCAGCTAAGACGTAAGTAAGAAATACTAACAGTAATTTCAGACGCCACATGTTCATTCACGCTTGTTAAAATCAAAATACCACCAATAATCGTAATGAGCGTTAATCATTTTTGATAACGACAGATAATTTACACACTGACGTGTACTATATTTATCTAATCAATTTTTATGTAACCGTTAAAATTTCGTCTCCCGCAGGCACTATGATAATATGGAAGTCGGTTGTTAGAAAACTAGAACACAAAAATAGATAGAGATAAACATTTATTATTACGTTGCTATTGATAAAAACATAATTAAAATTAACGGGCGATTTATTTACACACTACCATGATCAGTAATAGAATTGAGATTTGACAATTTGAAAATAAGTAAATGCCAGTCTTATTGTAAAACCGCGTAAATATTTACCCACCGCAACATTTTGTAAGATTCAATACAAAGAGCTATTTAACATTATTATTCAAAACAAAGAGCACGGGTGTAATGTATTATATATACATACATATAAACCTTCCTCTTGAATCACTCTATCTAGTGAAAAAAGCCGCATCAAGATCCGTTGCGTAGTTTTAAAGATCTAAGCATACATAGGGACAGACAGACAGCGGGATGACTTTGTTTTTACTATGTAGTGATAAAATTAATTTTGACACGGAATTACAGTAGAAATTTCTACACCCCAAAAAGGTGAGAGAAATACGAAATATAATGATGATGATAGTGAGGATTTTACTGTAGCATTTACTCAAATCAGTTGTTGCCATTATAACTCAAGTCACACATTTTTGCTCAGTGTATAACGGCAGGCGCACACCTATCATAATTGGATATCAATATCTTCACGCCAAACTTTCGTCATGTGATGCTTTCCCTGAACGAGCCTACTAGTGAAATATTAAATTAAAATAATTACAAAACTGCAATAACTTAAAGTTGTAGTGACAACATACTGCAACAATAGAACAGATTTTGTTTCGAACCATGTTATTGCAATTTCTAATACGTAGATTAAATAGAGACAGCATTGATGCATTATAAAAAAGCTTTCACGATGTAAAAACATTTCCCGAGTATCAAGCGCAGAATATATTTACAATTTCTTCGCCTTCCGTTCTTATTTGACACCGGGGCCATTTATTTAGGCGTATGTTACGCGTCTTAGGACCCGCAAGCCCCGACAGGAGTTCCGTAT